ACCCTTGTTATTCAGTATCAGGTGTCAGTACTACCCTTGTTATTCAGTATCAGGTGTCAGTACTACCCTTGTTACTCAGTACCAGGCACTGGTATTCCCCTTTTGCTCAGTACCTGGTGTTGATACTCCCCTTTTTACTCAGTACCAAGTGTCGGTACTCCCCTTGTTACTCAGTAACAGGTACCAGTATTCCCCTTTTACTCAGTACTGGGTGTCAGTACTACCCTTGTTACTCACTACGAAGTCCCACTACTCCCCTTGATTTAGTACCAGATGCTGGTACTCCTCTTGTTATTCAGGACCAGGTGTCAGTACTCCCCTTTTTACTCAGTAGCAGGTGTCAGTACTCCCCTTGTTACTGAATATGAGGTCCCAGTACTCCCCTTGATATTCAGTACCAGGTGCTGGTACTCCCCTTGTTACTCAGTACCAGCAGATATTGAGAAGTACCATTACTCTGCAGAGACAGAGTACACTGCAGAGTGTACCGTTGAGTTCGGGTCGACTGCAAACACTGCCTACACCTATAAGGACTGTCTCATTAAAGGAGCTATGCCTAATTTAAGCTATGCCTAAAATGGCATCAATCTGACATTTATTTTGTTGTTGGTTACGACCACATACATATCATTTTATACATTTTTATCTATTGTTTCTAGATACTTGCTGGGACAGAGAATTGAAAGATCCCTCTGTCTGCTGGTCACCTGACACCTTTCTTGCAGACAGTGTGAGAGCCCAGTTCTGTTGTACGCAAGGTCAAAGTGACTTTTCTGAATGACAGCTTCTTTAAGGGCATCTGTAAGGGCAGCAGCTACACATGCTGACAGTTTTGTCCATCTGGTCGCTCTGGGCTGTGGGAGGCTCACACCTTTCTGTAACAGAAATATAAGTCATGTTTTATTTGGCACCCCCCAGCACCTGTGAGTGTATATATCAGGAACACATTTTACTCTGCAGACGGTGCCCCAGCCGTTATGCACTAAGTAAATCTGCTTTGGAGACGTGTGTGTCTGGCGGCTCATGTATCGTGACACAGTTTGGTGCTCGGAGCAAGGTGTTTGCCAGCTAGGCAGTGTGCAAAGCCAGCCGCCGGGGGACTTCTGGCAGGGGATGCCGCACGTATTCCCAGGCCGCCGTGAGCTGGTATCACTTTGGTGTGATCTCCGAAGAGAGCCGAACAAAGAGGCAGATGATCAGACGGGGGCCGTCCACTGCGTGAGCATCTCTCCTGTTGCCAGGGGAGTCATGGACTGCGCAGTGCCATGCAGCATAGTTGGTGCTAAAGCCAAAATTCGGGGATTTACATGAGCGCTCAACTGAGATTAAGCCTTCGCAGGGTAAATTGGGGAAGCAGTGAAGTGCCGTGCGACAGGATGTGGACAGATGAAGTCCCAGGAGAGGGCTTCCTGTAGTATGCAGCTGTGTAAATGGATTGAGAATCCTCAGCAGTCTGTCCATCCATCCATCCATCCATGCATCCATCCACTCTGCTTTAATCCTCTCTTCCTGAGGAGGTCTGCGGTTTCACAAAAGTTGTTTTGGATGGAGACAGCTGCTAGGTAAATATAAAGGTAAATATAGCTGATGATCGAGTGCATGGGCTGGGATAAAAGTAAAGCAGTTAAAACAATCATTTGACATACAGGTGGGAGATTTCTTTGAATCTGCTACAAGCATTTTGGCAAAAGTGAGTACAGTAGCAACTGATGATTATGCGTGGATGGGTTCAGACCAAGATTGTACACTGGATCAACTTTAAGTACTACTACCGTGATGGTGTTTTTCTTGGAATTCTTGTGGAAAAGTGAATGTCTTTTGTTAAAGGGATGACGAGTATGATTATTATACTGTGATTATATGTTTGCTGTTTAATTTCTACCATGGAACAAATATAGTGACATCTTTGCTTTCTTTCCAGATATACAATGAGAAGAGAACCCAGTTTGAGATTAAGAAGATTTCTCCCAAAGAGCTGGTAGAGAAGGTGGCTTCTGACATCCAGAAGCTCTTAGCACGTAAACGGAAGGCACTAGAGGTAAGAGGACGGGACAGAATCTCTCCCTGGGACCACCAGGAGGGTAGGGAGGCTCCTGGGCTTAACATAAGAGGGAAGTGAAGGTTCTGGAAAATGCCAGATCTACTGAGCAAGGGGAGGTTTTGGGAAAATGTGCTCATATAGAAGTGAAAATGGTGTTTTCTTTTTCATGAATTTTTTGACCATAGCGTACAGATGTACACTGGCCATTGGACTGGTAAAGGATTTCAGCAAGACCTCAGAATATTCTGCTCTGGCTTTTCTGGTATATCACCTCTGTGTTGATGACCCAGTTCAGTTATTTGTAGCCTTCTGCCCCCTCCACTGCCTTTCTGTGGATGGTGACTCGTCTCAGGGGCTCCTTGGGACCCCCTTGTGATGCAGGTGTTCAGCTGCAGGTGGCTCTCCAGGCATCACAAGACAAAGTCCTCCACCAGCCCCGTATATACTCACTCTTCTCCATTGTCACGCATCAATAGTAGAGTCGTTAGAGAAATTCTACAGGCTACATGAGCTGGTATTTTATTGGAGGTCTTTTGCCTAGAAGGTGAACAGGAAGATAGGCAGGGCAGTTCCCTGAGGTGCCCCTGAAGCCTCACAAACCATCAGCTGTAGGACAGGTGGTCCATAATCTTAGATAATGTGGGTGAATCAGGCTGGATCACCTGAGCCTGTTCCCCAGTCAGGGAGGCTGCATGGTGAGAAAGGCACTGGAGAAGTTAAAGAACATGATCCTGACATGACTGTGGTGCCGATTTTGCCCAGGTGGGAGTGGGCTCTGTGAAGCACGTAGATCAGATAACTCCTACAGCTGAGTCAACCCTATCTACGTTATATCTTAGTGGAACTTTTCCATGAGCCTGTTTTTCATTATGGATTGTTTCAAACTGATTTTTTTATTTTGATAAATACAAGCTGAGGACCAGTCATTATATTAAGCAATATGATCGATTCATTGCCTGATTTAATCTAATAAAAATCAGGTTTCTAAAATCATTATCAGATTCCTAATTGGTCTGATGACTGGCTAAAAAAAGTGGTGATACCCTGACATGTTAATTTGCACATTTCAAATGCTTTTATTTATTTATTGGACTCTGAAATGCCACTTGCTGAAGGGAGTTTGTTTTTCAGTGAAGTGATGTGTGTTTGTCTGTCGAATATGGGCAGAAAGCTGCAGAGGGCTGAGCATGTCAGGGTGACGCACTAGAGATCACTCAGGAACGGCGCATGCTTTGTTTCGATGTGGAACAATTAAGAGAATCACACAAACAATGTTACGGCTGCCTGCTGTTTTGTTGTTGTATTCATGTTGATTGCTGTGGAAATGTGGACGTGTTTGGGCTTCAAGCCGTTGTTTTCGTGTACAATTTTTGCAGCTAGCAGTAGCTAGTGTGACCAGGACCTGTCCACCAAAGGATCAGCCAGGCTTCCAGTTGCACACTAATTAAGCCTTTACACATGTCAGCAGCTGTGTTGTGCACAGATGTGCTCACAGTTTGCCTGTGTGTGGCTGTGGGCTTCTATGGTGGTGTGCACGTCTGTGGGTTAGAACTCTAAGCCCATAATTGGATGGTCGCTGGTTGCAATCCCATGGCAGGCAGAGTGATGTCACTGCTGGGCCCTTCAGCAAGGCCCTTAACCTCAGTCGCTCCAGGGATACTGTCTGCTCTCTGTAGCTCACTTGGATGTTGCTTTGGATGAACATGTGTGCTAAATGAATGTAATCGTGACGTGTGAGTTTGCCAGGGTCCCAGCACCTGCTTGTCTCACGACTGGTGCTTTGATAGTTAGAGGCCCCCATTGTCTCAGAGTGCCGTAATTAGAATTCCGCCACGTAAATGTGACCGGAAATGAGCACTTTGTCTAGCTGTATCACTGTCTTTTTTCATCCCTCCCGTTTGGGTTTTGTGGTCACCTCTGGCCCTATTATTCCTCATTAGAGACACCTGCTGTTGGCTGCCCCCATGACGGAGTGCCTCTGCTTCCTGCCTTTGAGTCAGCCCCCCCGCTGTCATTCTCCAGCTCCCTCCTTCATTAACTAGTGCAGTGGAGGCTACGGCTTCCCGTGAGACCAATACACTAATCAATCTCTTGTGCGTCTTTACCTCCTGGGCATTTTTTTTTGTGGCAGAGGAGGCAGGCGGGCATCGCAGCGGCTTGTTCGCGCCCCTTTAGGTGCGGTCTGGGGCCCCGGGCCTTTCCCATTGGGGGAGCTTTACAGGAGGAGAGGGACAGAGCTGGCTTCCGTGTTCCCGCTTTTATTAATGTCGTTATGGTGAGACTGTTAGGTAGCCCTTCACTAATAAAGCACTTGTGAGGAGGGGAATTTGTGCTGTAAGTGCTGCAGACAGGATGTTGGGAAGGAGGGGGGACTGTTGGGGGCTCAGAAGGCTGCAACACGTCATTTTTTGGTGGGGAGGGGGTGGTGGCTCATTTTGTCCCCTGTAGTCGACCCTCACGGGCTTCTCCTGTGCTTGCGCGCTTGCTGATAGCCTCTCCCAGACAGTGGTCAGCTCTTTCCTGCGGCTCATGCGGCTGGCGGCTGTAATTTCGCTGGCAAGTCGTGGGGGTGGCCGACAATGGCGAGGGCAGATTGGCCCCCACGTCCATCTCGCCTGCCCCCACACCCCCAGCCAGCGTCTCACCCGGAGCCGCCCATCACGCCACATGCTGCCAGTCGGCATTAATTATTCGCCGGAAGGAAGAAAAACGGGCGAGAAAAAAAGGCCCCACATCAAATAGGAAGGTGCCCCACCCCCCATCCCCCCGGCACCGTCGCTCGCCGTGGAAAATTAGCAAAGGAAATGAAGTGATGATATTCATACATTGGAAATGAACGGGATGGCGGCAGTGGCGGAGAGACGGAGAGGGTGCCAGCCGTCCCGGGGGGGCGACGCTCGCTGTTTACCTTCCCCTCTGAGATTTAAATGCCAACACGCTGTAGCTCGATGAAGAGGGACAGCGCTGAGCGGCGGACCAGCAACGACCAGCGACTCTCAGCCTGACCCGAGTCATTTACACACCTGCCCTTCTGCAGGTTTCACTGTGTTTTTAAAGGCCTCTCATGAACACAAAGACGCTGTATTTTCACAGAGGTGCAGACGCACATACAATCTTTCACGCAGTCTAAGTTGGTAAAGGAAGTACGCACTGCTGGTGCAAAATGCACTGAATGTCTATGTCTTCCCTTGGCACTCTGATTCAGAGTTAATTACACTGCCAAAGTCCTGTGACCGAAGACAGCTGGGTAGTGACTGGCGTGGCTACGGCCGAGGGAATGCAAAGTACAAGGGGGAGCGCGGATGGACCCCCCCCACGTCCCCCAGTCCCCGGCGTTTTCAGCTTCATTTCTCATTGAAACCGAAACGGGAAGGGAGGGGGGAAGACATGTAGCATCACTGCACAAATAGTTGGGTTTTGATCCCTTTGATTTATTTTCTGCTCCTCAAATACATTTTTTCACTTTTAATGCAGTTTGAGTAAAAGCAAAGTAGAATCAGACTTCAAAGAGAGACAGTTTTAGGGAGATGTCCAGGTAAAAAAAAATACAGTGTAGCCCATTTGTCATGTACAGGACTCAGTATGTCAGGTATGTGTTCTATTACTGATGGTCACCAATGACACAATCTCAAGTATGTGTGTGTGGATTATGTTTATATTACATTTTGGCGTCCAAATGTTCCCCACAATGTAATAAAAACCTGTTATTTTGATATAATGGGGCCAGTACCCAGAAAGATGTGTGTGTGTTTGTGTTATGTATATGTTATATTGTGGGAGCCAAATGTTCCCTCAAGGTCATAAAAACCTGATTTTTGACCTTGTGGGGACCACATTTTCGGTTCCCACAAGGGGAAAGTCAATTTTATAAAAACCTGTGACTGCAATCAAAAAAGTCAAAATGCCAAAAGTCTCGTATTTTGTTTGGTTATTTATAGATAAGGTTGGGGTTGGGTAGGGGTTAAAGTCATGCTGGGATTAGAATTTTCCCCATAGAAATGAATGCAGAGTCCCTAAAAAGATAATTACAACCTGTGTGTGTGTGTGTGTGTGTGTGTGTGTGTGTTGCACAGGGAGAACACCATTTTAAGACACATTTGCAGAATCCTAGTAGAGAAGACAGACTCTAATGAAAGATGACTCTTAAGTATCTTACACTTACTCCGCAGAATGGGTAGTTTAGTGCTACAGATTAGGTCCCAGCCTTACGGTTTGTTTCTGTTTGCGCCCCATTGCGTCTGCACATTCCCACGCGGGGGGGTGCGGGGTGTATGCACGTGTGCTTGTGGGTGTGTCCACCGCAGCTACCTGCAACCGTGACTTTGATGGGCTGCTTCCCGCTCCCCTCGCCACCCCCGGCAGCTGGCAGACGTCGCCCTCGAGTCGCCGCTGATTGATGTACACGCTGACAGCACGCCGTCTGTAATTCAGCATCACTGGTTCTTTTAAAGGGCACCTCTGTTATTGGCTTGGAAAGAAACATGCAAGACGAGCTTCGCTCCCACACATCTCCAGTTTAGTGCCCGTGTAACAAGCACAGACGTCAGCACGCATGCATCACAGAACACGATGCCAATAGCGGCAGTATATTGTATGCAGTTTGTGTATTTAAACTATGTACATAATCAGAATGAAAAGTTTATTTAGGTCAAGATTTTATTGAATATCAGGTTTGTCTGCGTTCAGATGAGCTCACAAAGCCCAGTTAGCTCCTGTTTCCTGTAGATGCTTCATGGAGAGTCTTGGTGGTGACCTACTGTAGCTTCACACACACAGGGATCTTTACTTCCTCTCTAATGATGCTGTTTCTGAGCCTTTTTCTCACATCTGTAGAGTATAGCGCTGACTCCTCAAGTGTGGGTCCCCTAGCGGTTGTCCTTTGTGTTTGGGAGGCTATTCCCGCTGAATTAACCAGCTTTGGTGCTCGCGTGCATTGACTGACCCTAAAGCTGGGCCAAGAGCCAGTTACGTAGCATCAAACAGACTCATGCTGGGCG